GGGGGGGGGGGACACTCTCCCTGGTCCTCCTTAGCCGTGTTCCCTGTTCTTGGGCGGGGACCTTCCTAAGATTAAAAGTGGGGTCTCTCATAGTCATCCGAGACTGCATTCAGAGAAAAATCTAAAGTCCGTAGCAAGCGTCTGTAAATGACCCTCAACTCTGCCTGTACTTTGAAGTCACCTGGGGGAACTTAAAAAATTAAAAGAAAAAAATTTTAAGTTTATTTATTTAGAGAGAGAGGGAGAGAGAGAATGAGAATGAGAATCCCAGTCCCAAGCAGGCTCCACACTGCCAGCCCAGACCGGAGCCGAAAGCAGGAGTTGGACTCTTAACCTGCCGAGCCACCCCAGGTGCCCTGGGGGAACTTTTAAAACAGCCAGTTTCTGGGACCCCATCCAGAACTCGTTGAATCAGAATCTCTCGAGTGTAAATGCATTTCACCGGTTCCTTTGCATCCTACCTCCTTCTCACTGAGCACTATTAACTAATAAATTCGACCAGTATATATTGGGCACCTACTATGCATCAAGCCTGCAGCAGGGGCTGGGCATATGGGGGTGAGCAAGACAGGTGAGGCTGTCTTGTAAATGAACAAGATGATTTCACGTCCAGGAAGACCAGGGACGGAAGGAGGCAGAGGGAGGTGGGGGTGACTAGGGCTCAGCTAGGATGAGGGGTTCAGGGATGTGTGGCTTTCCTTGCCTTTCTTTTCTCTTCTCTTCCTTCCGCCTCGGTCTGTCACTTCTTTGTGGCCCCTCCTATCTTTAGTGAGCACCATCTCTGGACAAAGCATGGTGTTGGACGCTGGGGAGATAGCAGAGAGCAAGCCAGATGTGTTCTCCATGCTCACTGAGCTACCAGTTGAGCCTGGGGTTGAGGGAGGGCCCACGTAGCCAGGCGACCATGAGGCAGTATGACAGGTGCTGTGATGGGGAACACACGGGTGAAGCAGCTGACGTGGGCTTGGGGGGATCGGGGAGTGCCCATGGCAACCTCCCAAAGATGGTAATGTCTAAACTGGAGCCCAAGCTGGGGAGAAGATAGACTCAGCCCCATGGACAGTGTCCCAGGTAGAGGGAGCAGGGTCAGCAAATACCCAGGGAGCGAGGAGAACTTGGTGCTCAAAACCTCCACTCTGCCTTTTCCTGACCTGAATGTCTCCCTCCGTCTGCCCCAGCCTTCCCTTGGCGGGGGGATGGAGGACTGGGGGAATTCCCAATTTCTGCAACCACAAGTGGCCACAGACGGCACTCACAAACAGGAGCCATGACCTTTGATACACTACTATTATTTTTAAAACTTTTCATTGAAATAGAATATGCATACATTTAAAAATTACTTTTATTTATTTATTTATTTATTTATTTATTTTTAAAAATTTTTTTTTTTCAACGTTTATTTATTTTTGGGACAGAGAGAGACAGAGCATGAACGGGGGAGGGGCAGAGAGAGAGGGAGACACAGAATCGGAAGCAGGCTTCAGGCTCTGAGCCATCAGCCCAGAGCCCGACGCGGGGCTCAAACTCACGGACCGCGAGATCGTGACCTGGCTGAAGTCGGACGCTTAACCGACTGCGCCACCCAGGCGCCCCTAAAAATTACTTTTAAACATCGTGTTTTGTGTGTTTTATATACTACACACAAGAGTTAGTACACAGGGTTCAAAACAGGTAAGTAAGGTCTGACAAGGAATACAGTGAAATGTCTCCCTCTGTCTCCTGTCCCATCATCACCTTCCCTTCCCCAGAGGCAAGTGATGTTACCAGCTTCTTGTGTATCTGTCCAGAGATAGTCAGCCTGTGCATGTCCATAGATTATCTCTGCACTTTTCTAAAGGGTAGTTGTACCCTTTGTTATGTGTCTGTACATAGGAGCCCGGCAATGGTTGGTTTTCTAGTTGCATCATAACTGCATTTAACCAGATCTCTACAGACGGATAGGTCAGTGTTTTCTTTAAAAAAAAAAAACAAAAAACAAAAAACTTACAAGGCTGCAGGGAATAACCTTTTATCCTTTGCATCTGTTCAAGTATATCTCCAGGATAAAGTCTTCAAAGTGGTATTGCTAGGTCAGAGGGTATGTACATTGGTAATTTTGACGGATATTGCAAAATCCCCTATAGAGAGGCAGGACTAGTTTTTCCTTGAACCAACAGTGTCAGAAAGTGGTGTCCCTGTGGGACCTTAGATGCCCTACTCCTTGCATTCATCCCACAGGCCCTTCCTGAGGGGAAGACCCTTACTCTCTTGTTTCTTAAACTCGCTTCATTATCAGGACCACCTGGGAGGGATCCTTAAAATACAGATTCCTGGGCCTCGTGTCAGACTTGCTCAATCACAATCTCCGGGGGGGAAGAGCCTGGGATTTGCATTTTTAACCATCTCCCCAGGTGACTCTTAGGATTAAGGCAGCTCTGGTACCAGCTGATTCACATAATGACATTGAATTCTCACTTCTCGGGCCCTGCATTCGGGTCATGATTCCCACGTAAGAGAAAAGAGCAAACAAACGGCGTTCCGGGGGGAATCACGTGAATGGGCCAGAGGGAGACTCAGGGAACTGGGCATGATGCATCTGCCCACGACCACCCCTCCTTCCCCCGCGGGTTGCTGAGGCCTCCTGTGCATCCCTGTTTCCTTTTAGGAGCCCCCAGCGCCTGGGGTCTTTGGCTCTGCTGTCCTTTGCTGGTTCTTATGGCCGAGACCGTGTGGTGAGCAGCGTGTGTGCATCGCCCTTCAGTACCCAAGCAGCCAGCCCAGGGTGTGTGGAAACAGAGGCACTTCAGACTGTGAGACCCCCTACCCCAATCCACAGCCTCCGCTGGGGCGGGGAGACCCCAGGGCCTTGAAATTTCAAAGGCACCAAAAGGAAGAATAATTGTTAAAAATGATTTTAAAAGTTCTTCAGCTGGCTTGTGTCCTCAGCAGAGAGACGTTCTCTGCCCTGTTTCAGCCTCTCTTGCTTTCCAGCTTGGAGACAGAGAAACTGTGGGTGGGAAGGGTGTTTTCTGTCAAGGGCATGAGGACCTGACGCCCGAGTTCCTGGCATCTCTCTCTGAAGAGAGGGCAGTAACTTGTGCGTAAGGATTGGCGGGTGCTGGCAGTGGTACCATTTTATCCAGGACCTGATCTGGCTTCTTCTCTGGCTTAATGTCTCTTCCTCGGAGCTATAGGCTACATTGGATTTCTCCTTCTTAGGTATTTAGCAGAGCCGAAATAAATGAATCCCTCAACAGAAGCCAATATTCCTGCCTGATTGCTGGGACTAATTGATGTTTTGGTGGGCATTGCATTGCCTGGAAATTAAAACATTTAACATGGCTCAACGTTAAATCAATTTTTAAATACATTTTCCAGATGCCTTCCATTTCTTTGGGAGTCAGCTGAATGAATGGCTGTGGAGTTATCTGTTAAGCTTTTAAAACAGTCCTTTTTTGACGAAGGTGGTGGCTCTTCCGGTTTTAAGTTGCCCTGGGCTTTGGGGATGGGTTGAAATAAAAAGGAAATACATAGTGCAAGTCAGTCACCCATGTGATTATAGCACAGCAGGGCAAAGTCAGCCCACTGGCCCAATCCTTTTGGAGGCTGGGATGGAGTTACTTCTGGAAATTTGCAGGATGCTCTTGGCCTCGGGCTCAGGAAAGGGCAACGGCAGTGTGGTTTGCCACCTCCCAGGTGTTATGCCGTCTCAAAAATAGCAATCAGAGTCATTTCTCATGACATCCCTTAGGGAGCAAGTTAGACATCCTGGGCACTTCTCTTCTGCCACCAGCACGCCCTGCGTTCTCTTCCTGGTCACGCATCCACAGTAGATGTCTCATCTGGAGATAGGAAGAAAAGCCTGCCTGAGTTTCCAAATATCTCTGGTGTTCCATAAGAGGTGGGTGGATTTTAAAAAGCAGCATGGGTAGGTGTTGTAGAGACTGGTGTATTTTCAGATGTCACATGCAGTTATGATAGAAAATTAAAAGGCTGGCATATGGAAGGTGTGGCCCTGCAGGTGTTGTTTAGGGTCTGATTTGGTTCTTCTCTCATCCTGGCGGGGAAGTGGCAGCTCATGTTCCTTCTCAATCACAGATCATCAATCTTGTTACCAACAGCACCAGCCCCCGGTTTAGCGGGGCCAGACTGGCTGATCTGAGAGGGGCGTTGTGTGAGAATGGGTCTGTGGGTTCCAGTTGGGTCCAAGCAGGCTTGGATCCAGCTCAGGACCCACTTTCCTTCGGCCTTGGATTTTCCTGGGGAACAGCAATTAAAACAACTTTCCTTTGGGTCAGGCGTCACGCTGCCAATGTCGTGGAGCTTTTGTGTCTCACCTTCCCTTCTGATCATTTGGTTTTGATTGACTTCCTGGACCCTGCCTGCCATGTTGGATGGCGACAGTGACTCCTGGAGGGCCAGCTCTGCATCAGGCACTGCTGAAGGGGCTTTGCCTATATCATTAGCTCACTTGGTTGTCATCACAACTCTGCTACGTGGGTGCAGTTGTGATTCCCATTTTCAGATAACCAAGAGGTTAAAGAACTGTGGTCTAAGGCCCCTCAGGTAGGAAGGATTTTTGGATCTTGACTTTTTACCTCGCACTGTGCTGCCTCCTAGATGAGTATCTTTTAACTTCTCCAATAAGTTAGATCAGAGAGAGATTCTGTAACTCCCTTCACCTCCTCCTCTGGCGGGAGGCCAGCTTGCCTCACAGCACTTATAATTGGTGATTGCCTCAGGCAGAAAGACAAATCCAGCTTATGCCCCGCAGGACCCCTGGGGTCTCAGGTTGAGATGCGCAGGGAAGCAGCGGGTCACACTGATAGGTGTTGTTCCTGTTCACCTTTCAGTGTCAACCCGGCCGTTGCATTCCCAGCCTCCATCTTCTACAACTGGCTCCCCAGGTGGCTGCAGGGATCATGGTCACTAGCACACAGGTCGCAGTGTCATGGTCCTGATTGGTTGGGACCTGCTCCATATAGGTTGTCAGATATCTGAATATCACCCCCAGCTGGATCCTTTGGCGGAACCCCCACCTTCAGGCCCCGTCCAGATGCTGAGCGTAGCTTGTGGGGCCTGGAAGTGCTTGTGGGGGCTGGAAGTAGCTTGTGGGGGCTGCAACTTCAATGAGACCTAGAAATACATTATTCTCTCTAGTCCTGGTGCCCAGGGAGTCACCACAGTTGCTGGAGATGGGTTGCATTACCAAGGAGAGGTGGCTGCGTCTTGGGGTGTGTGTGTGTGTGTTTCCCTGGCTTTACTAAAGGAATGCTGAGAGTGACAACACAGTAAAGAGCTTAGTATTAAATATTCAATATTCCTTTGTCCTTAAGTCTGTTGCCCATTCTTACCTTTAAAAACATCTATATTGTTTCTAAGGAAAACATATATGTAATAAAAAAAATAAAATTAAACACTACAGAATTACCAGGTCGTAGAGTGAACAGGTGCGACATCTACAAAGTATGTCTTGGGGTGAATACCCTCTCTATAAATCCATCCCAGCCATCCAGTGATTCCTGGGATTTTCAGCCACCATAGGAGATTCATTTTATACTTCTCTGCCTTTACTGCTTATTGTTACTGATTATTTCAGAAAGGGGTATGGGCTTGTCTGACCTATGGGGAGAGATCTGCATAGGTCTTGCCCACAGGTGAAGACCTTACTGGCTTTCACCTCCATCCTGGCCTTTGATGACTCAGACTGGACATATGCTGATGAAATCTGGAGGGAGGGGCTGTCCTTAGGAGAAGACTGAGGAATTGCTTTCAGTCTCTGAAATCCTCTGGAACATTCCCATGTGTGTGGTGGACTAGATGACCATCCCCAACTCCTTTGGTTACTTCCTTTATTAGGCTTATACATCCATGCATCTCAACACCGCTGACTTTGGGCTTTGGTTGTTGGAACGTGAGCAGAAATGGTAGATTCCACAGCAGTAGTCTTACATGTGCTCACATGATTTGGCCTGACCTGTTGGTAGTTGCTTCTCCACATGAGGCAATGTGTAGATGAGGAGACATAGGGAACAGACATGAACACATCCTGCAGCTTACAGCCAAGCTGAGATCAGCAGAACCCAGCAGAGCTGCAGCCAACCTGAATACTCAGGAGCAAGAAATAAATACTTGTTATGGGAAGCCATTGAGACTTTGGGGTTGTCACTGCAGCCAAAGCTGACTTATACACCGTGTCTTCAGCATGCCCTCCTTTGCACAGTGCTTGTCCCATGCTGTGGATTGGAAGATGATACACTTTACCCCATGTCACACTGACTGAAAAGGAAATGGATGATTCCAGAAGAGTTCAGTTACTAAACTGTGGTAGACAGAATTCTAAGGTGGTGCTAAGCTCCTCGGTGTGCACACCCTGTGTAATCTCTTCCCCCCGAGTCCAGGCAGAATCTGTGGGTGTGATGGAGTGCCACTCCTATGACTATAGTCTTACGCTATTAGCTTTTACTAATTTTTTGACTTAATAAAAAGGTAGATTGGGGTGTCTAAGTGGCTCAGTTCCGACTTCAGCTCAGGTCATGATTTTGTGGTTCATGAGTTTAAGCCCTGCATTGGGCTCTGTGCTGACAGCTCAGAGCCCGGAGCCTGCTTTGGATTCTTTCCCCCTTCCCCCCGCCCCCTCTGCCCCTCCCAACTCATGCTCTGTCTCTGGCTCTCTCCTCTCTCAAAAACAAATAAGCATTGGGGCACCTGGGTGGCTCAGTTGGTTAAGCATCCAACTTTGGCTCAGGTCATGATCTCACAGTCTCATGAGTTCAAGCCCCACATCAGCCTCTGTGCACTGACCGCATGGAGCCTGCTTGGGATTCTCTGTCTCTCTGCCCCTTCCCCACTCACACTCTCTCTGTCTCTCTCAAAATAAATAAATAATTTAAAATTAAAAATAAATAAATAAACACTAAAAAAAAAGGCAGATCGTCCGAGTGAGTCATACTTAAACTAGCTGTACCATTCAAAGGAACTAGCCCTTCCTGAAGTCAGAGGTATTCAGTGTGAGAGAGCCTATGGAGGGGACCACGTGGCAAGGACCTAGCGTGGACCTTGGAAGCTTAGAGGTCCCTGGCTGACCGCCAGCAAGAGAATGGGGAGACCTCATCATACAATCATAAGGAACTAAAGTTTGAAAACAGCCTGCAATCTTAGAAGGGGACCCAAGCCTCAGATGGGACCCCAGCCCCAGCATGCTCTCAGCCAGGTGAGACCCTGAGCAGAGAATCCAGCCGAGCCACGCTCCGACTTGTGACCTCCTGAATTGAATACACAGAATAAGGGGAAGTGAGTGCAGGGTAGGCAAATGCCAGCCATGTGCAAGGAGCTGAGAAACAGGCAGCCATCTCTGGCTGAAACAGTCTAGCTCTGGAATGTAAGCTTAGCCCGGAAACCTAACATTGCTGTGGGTGGGCATCCTATTCCTTTTCAGTTCTCCCTCAGGGATCTTTTACTTCTTGTGAAGATGGAGGCCTGGTATGTTTATTTATCTTTAGCACTTACCATTTATAATGACTCAGCATCAATTCCTCCTTCCCCACAAGACTGAATTTCGTTTGGGGAAGCATTCCTCTGGGACTGTCACTCATGGATTAGGTGAGATGAATCCCACCTTCAGCTCCAGGGTGGGCTCTGATTCTCTTAAATCAATCTGCATATCACATTCCTTAAACCATAGGGATTGATTCAGGGATGGACCAGTGACAGCCAGGATGTGGATTTAAAAAATT